GTCTGCTTTAGGGAAAACAAAAAGAGTAGCTGTAACGTATAGCAGGCCCTGAAGTTAGCCACAGACCTAAGCACCCACAGTCATTCACAATCCGCAATATCATATTAAGTAAAAACCAGCAAGACTGTTTTTACTGACTGTTCAAGCGTCCCAGCGTCAGTCTAGCTGAGGATTCATCGTAACTGGAATAGGGATATATTTCTGTGGAACAAATGTTTCCAAGCTCCTAAAATAGACCACAGTTAAACTGTGTTCCACATCAAATGGGGTTTCATTCCTGGTCATATGTCACACCAAGCTATGACTGGCCCGATACCGACCCGCTTGCAGCCATACGGTTTATTTCAAGGGAAGTCACATGGATGGCCCAAAGGCCATTCTCAGACAGGAGTGAGGAGCCTGGAGAGAAGAGGACAAGCCACTGAAACCACAGGATGGCAGGCTCAAATATAGCCTGTTCCACTTAATCAGGGTGTACTTAATGGGGAAATTCACTTAATCAGAGCATCTCCCAAGGAAGAGCTTTAAGTCCAACAATGCTTTATGGTAAAGACTGCCACTTTAATAGTGTTAGCAATTCTTCTTGTTTTCTGTTTATACTTTCAGGTCTCATGTACATTTGAAGCTTGTTCTGATTTTGTATGTCTGAAGATAGATCAGCTCTGTAGCCACTGCCAGTTCCCAGCAATGACTCTGCTCCAATGATGTTGAGTCTGCACATTTACCATCAGTCCCCCCGCAAGCAGGCAGAGCTTCTTCCTGAGCCTGCAAGTCTCAGGGGCTCCGGTTAGCAGGATTTACCACGCAAAGGCAATGCAGGGCTGTCACTGCAGAGCAGCAGGGCAATAGAAATGTCAAATAAAGAGCATCCCCTGCTAACCTGCTTTGCATTGTAAGTATTTGGTTTGCAAGGAGAGTCACCATTTCCTCCAGCCCATCCCAGGAATTCCAGATTTAGCACAACCCATGTTTAGTGTGGCAGAGGCAGCCTATTGCTAAAACACATGCTGAAATATACTTTACAAGAGAAGGTTGCTGTCTTCCCTTCCACTGCTCCAAAACATTTCATAAATTGCTAGGGCTTGGGAAAGGAGACGATGGAAAAACTACACTAGGAAAAGCTTTCCATGTGTAGGGGGAGAAAATAAAAGATTAACAGAACAATACGGCTGTGTCCTTAACTAAGGAGATCCAGGGCTTAACACAGAGTTGAGTAACTGTTGAAGGTATTTCTGTTGTATTAATAATATATTCAGTACCCCACAGTTATCCAGTATGCTTTTGATAGAATTTTTCTGTTTTTCTACTTTTACCGTTTATTCTATTTCCTTCTAGTATTTCTCCCATACCTCAACAGAACTTTGGCTTTCAGCTAAAAACATTGCCTCCATCATGTTTTCAAAGACACATCAGGCCTTTGCCTTGAAATCCGTATTTTAACCTGTCCAGATGTAGGTTTCAGGGGAGGAGGGAAAGTGGGAGGAAGGAGACAGGAGGTGGTGAAAGCCCCGTAAGTCTTTCCCTGCTTCCCTTTGGCCAAGGGGTCAGCTGTGCCACGTGATGCAGGGCAGCTGTGCTGCTATAAAAGCCCTGGCACCAGCCCTCCTTCATCCACACAGCGGTTGTGTCCACGCTAAGGGCAGTCACCCCGCGGTCAGGGGTGCACAATGCAAGCAATGTGCATTATGCATAAGTGTAATACGCTCCCTGCCTAGAGGAAAGGAATTTGAAGCTTGGCTTTGCGCTAGTTAAAGCATATCCATATGGACAGACATAGGGATAGCACAGAACTTCCAAAATAACTCCTGAGTTTCTTAACCTGGTAACGTTATACTTACCCATGAAATCAGAGTGCACTGAGAGACATGCAGTTGTCACATTCATGAATATCATTAGCTATCACGTACCTGTCAGCTTTTTTCCCTTATTCTTGTAGTATATGATGAAGATGACAATGCCAATTAGTGCCACAAAAAACAAGATGACAATCAACACGTATAAGATCCTGTTTGTTCCTGCAGGATGTAAAAAAGATAGTACCATCAACATGCAGCTTGTGCTCAGCAGTATGACAATCCTTGCTCATTTTACCTGCTTTTCCACAGGAGAGGGTTTTTTTTTTTTTTTTCCCTTCCTATTTGATTTTCAGTTTCTATAATAAGGACAACAGCTCGAGCACTCATGCAGTTCTGTGACAAGCAGCCTTACTGAAGGTACCTGGTACCAAGCCATCTCCATAAAAAAGAGTCTTGGTGTCTCAGAGTGGTGTGATCCAGTCAACCTCCTCTCAAAGTCCCCTTGCAAGCTGCCAGCAGTCCATGCTTGCTCTGCCTTGGGGGACGGGGGACATACCTTGCATGGAGACTATAGACTTCAGCTGGCAAAACGTGTCGGTTATCTAAGGTTATGAAGGATCACCTGCATGCCAGGCAGGCAGCCTCCCTGGTACCATATCCACACTGGAGAGGTAAATGGGCAGTGGGCAAGAAGGGAGAGCTACGTTCAGCTGAGACTGTATCCATTGCTATAAAAGAAGCACGGAGAGAAGTTGCTAGTCTTTATACAGATAATTTGTGTATGGAAATCAGCAGGCTGAAAAAATGAGAGAGCTGTAAATGGAATGGAGGTCATGGGTATAACAGCAATGCTGCTTGCCATGCAATTTCGGTGGGAGGGGTGAAGCTCTGCTTAGTAGTGGACATGGGCCCTAGAGCAACCAGGCTTAAAGTAATCTTTAAAGATAGGATTTTCCTAGAGTGCCGTCTTGGTCTACAGCTGCTCCCCATAGAGTCACCCACGATGGGAATGGAGTTAAGCCAGCCAAAAACCCTAGTAAACACATTCTTCCTCCACCTCTCTGGTACTTCCTAACAGATAATGTGTATGAGGACACATACCGTCTTCTGATGGCTCAGGTGTCTTCCGTTCTGCACAAACTGCATCTGACTTGTCAGTCCCAGGCACTATTTCTGCCATTCCTAGAGCTGTACAGCTGAAAAAGACAAAGAGGTTAGATTCTCAAAGAGGGAGCTTGTCGTGGCTCCTACACTTATGCAGAGTAGTACTTTCTGTTGTAAAGTACAACATTCATCCTACATTTCTCCACCCTTAAGATGGTCAGATACCTTCTTTATTTTCAGCTGTGTTAGCTCAGCAGTTCTATTGTTACTGCTCTCTCTTGCTCCCCGCCCAAGGAGAATTCAAGCTCCAGTGTGAGAATGCCTTTGTCGCTGCACAGCCAACAGAGATGCTCTGTGCACTCTGCAGACAGCCTGAAACACCCCACCGAAAAATGTTTTTGCCCAACCTTCTCCCTTCCTTGTGGCTAGCGTAGTCCTTTTGCAGGATACAGGGACTTACTTGGTCCAGGATTTACACTCATCAGTGGATGAAGCAACTTTTGAGAAGTAGCCTCTGGGACACGGTGTACACATTGTGTCCTTGTCTTGTTGCACTGTGTATAGTAAAGGAAGAAAAACCTCATAGCTGAATTTCCATGAGTTCCTTTCAGGTAAGCAGAAGGAAGGTGACTATGCTCCCCATACTCCCACTCCACTCCCCGCCCCCTGCTGAAAACTTCCCTGAAGAGAGAAGGATCTTAGACTACATTAAAGCAACAATGACAGTCACATGTAAACAGAAAAAAGTATGGTAGTCTCACCTGAATACTTATCTACCTGATCAAAATGAGAAATGACCAGGAGCCATTTGCAGTTATTGTCAAATAACACACAGCTATTATATCCTTCCCCTTCCATTAACTTCCTCGTGTCGATGCTATGCTACAGACAGTGACGCTAACTGGTATTGTCACTTCTATGAAGCCACAGCAAACAGAATGCTGTATCAGGATTTGATAGACTGGAGAAAAAACAGCACCACGATGCTCCAGGCCCATGCAGCATTTCATCCTCCATTACTCTATTATGTGCTGCTTTTTTGGGGTTCCTCATGCTTGGCGCAGCTGTTCCCAGTGTTCAGTACAACTCTAAACTTGACTGTCTCTATTTTCCAGTCACAAAACACCTGCATTTTGGTTTTGATCAGACTTAGGACTAAATTAAATGTCTGTAATAAATCTTTGCATTACAAGTCATCTAAAACAAAGAATACTTGCACTACCTGAAAGGTGTTAATCACTGTTAACTCACTTATACCATTACAAAATAGCAAAGCAAAGTCATCAGACAAAAACTGATTTCAAACCTGACTTCAACAACAATCCCCAATGGACGACTACTCTGAATACTGGAGTGGTGCATGTCCTAGTGACTCACAGTCAGACATCTCAGCAAACGCTAGGAATACACTGAACACCTTGCTATTATTGCCATGTCCACGTGATATCTTGCAAAAGTAATTTGATACAGGATACTATTTAAAGTACAGAGGCAGAAGTCTTCAAATGCAAATAGTCCAGGAGGGTTATACGCAGATATGCATCTTCTGTTGATAGTCATCTGAGAGTCTAAAGTATCCTTTCTAATGTCACAACCCACACGATGCTGGCCTCACCCTGTTGGCCTGAACTGGACATTTCACTTCGTACGTCCCCTTTCTGTATCTTACCAGGATGCTCGACTCCAAATCCTGGAGCACATACAGTATTTCGCTGACAGCAGTCACAGTCTTCATTCCAGTGGTAGCCCACCGTACAAGCACACTGCCGCTGGAATGTGCTGTTCCCTGGGTTCACTTCTCTCAAAGCTTTCCCTAAAAGAGAAAGCAAATGGGAGTAAAAACCTCTCTGATAATAAGCCTCAAGTTTATGAACCTCCTGTCTACCTATTTGCTTTGCTTGAATGCCAGATGCAAAACCATTCATGTTAGAGGAAATGTTATCTCTCAAGAAGCGTGGGAGACCCTTGATCAGCACGGGGCTCCTCACTCATTACACTCCTGAGCAACGCTTTTCCTTGTAGCTGCTGTAGAAAACAAACAGAGCTTTTGCAAGGGTGAGACAAACATGCTAGGGGAAATGAATGCACAGTATGCTGGGCAAAAGGACAGCCTTTAAGATCTAACTCACAGGAGTGAATGGCCCCAGTGAAGATAATCATTATCAGCAGCATGGAGACTATGGTCGCGGTGCTCAGCACAGCATAGAACCTCAGCTGTCTGGGGACTTCGCTCTCTGCCAGGCTCTTCTGCAAGCCCAGCCTCCAGTGTCGGGTACCTGAACAAAGCAACTTCCCTAGATCCACTTTCCCATCTTTATGCTTCACTAGTTTGGATTAAAAGGTTCTTGAGTATGAACAGCTCACCTTGATCACATATTTTATGTAGTAAACATTTGTCTTCTTCATTCCAGACATCCATATATTCATTTGGGCCACATGGCTGGCACACGCTATCAGAAGTACCAGCGCATCTAGCAGACATATACTTCCCTGTGAATGACAGAAGGACAAGTAGGTTGTTTGCAAGTTGCACATCAGCTGTCTAAGGAGCTTAGGGAAAATAACAGGTTGGGCTAACACTGCTCTACTGCTGTGGACAACCATTTTTTCCTGCCACCTTTTCAGTTCCTCAGTCTAGCCCCCATTTAGCATGGCACCGAAACATCTGTGAAGCTTATGGCCTGGGAGCAGCCCTGTCTACGCACACAAGAATCAAGCTGCTTTCTGTCTCCCACATTGGTTAAGTGCTATCCCAACAAAATAGCTGCTATGGCTTTTGCAAGAAAAAGCCTGCACTAGAAGGGCCTTGTAAGCCTGAAATCATGCACCTGCGAGGGTATGTGCCAATAGATTAGCAGAGTCACAAGAGCAAGCTGCCTTACTGACCCACAGAACAGTTTCTAATGAGCTTTTCAGTTATGAAGCAGGTACAGCCCAGTGCTCACATACCTGGCTCACACTTTGTGCAGCACCGTCCAGAATATTCATAGTGTTGTTCGCTTTCACACGGTGGAGTGATTTGTAGTGACAACTGGAGCAGAGAAGGAGAGAAAGGACATGACAACCAATATACCTGGAGATCTTCAGACCTACCTAGTCACAGTGCTGGCAGAGAGGAGGAAAACTTTTCATCTCTATAGCATTTTGGATAGCTAAGCAGTAAAAGTGACCCAACATTTATGACTTCAAAGGTGCTTTGTAGACACAGTAAGAATATGTACTTGATGTCGTACACACAGGGACTTGTAATACAGCCAGGTGATAAATAACAGAGTCTTGCAATTTGTCATGAACTTTTGGCCTGTTTATAACCTTTTCTTACAGTGCTCTATTATTTGAAATCTATGACTTTAAAACAATTGTAAAGAAAAAAAACTGGCATAGAGATACTTCTGTAGTCTCTTCCACAGATACGACCTCAGACCAAGACCTGAGCAACTGACAGTTTTAATGCGTAACACTAAGCAAACAAGTAAGGTGAACGATTTATACTCCTGAAAAAGAAGAAGTTCCCAGCTTCCCACTGGGATACACAATACCCTCGGCTAGTCCCGGAAAATACTGGACTTTAATTTTGCAGCTTTTTATGGCTCCCACTGCGTCTTGCTGAGATGGTCTTACGGAACTGAGGCAGCCATCCAGAGAGGTGATATAATTAAGCCAATGGCTTTTTGCCTTTCAAAAAACAAAACAAACCACCACCCCCCCCACCCCAAACCACCCAAAACTATTACACGAGAGTGCATCTGCAAAGCAGGTAGCAGTGTTGCCTCTAGCTCTTATGGACCTTCTCATCTCTGCCCTGCTCTCGGCTGCCTGTACGCACAGTGGTCCTCCGCACAGGCCAGCACACACATCTCCCTTGGCTGGTCTTCAGGGCATGGCTTGTGCTGGGGGTCCTGGCCAGCCAAGCACTGTGCCCAGCTCCTTGCTGGCCCTGCTTTGGCTGCCCAGGAGTCTCCTGGCAGTGGTCCTCCAGGCAATCTCAACACCTTACAACCAGCTGTTGATCTTGCAATAGGTAAGATGATTCAAAATCTGGCCTGTAGCAAGGAATCCTTCATTATTGGATACAGTTGTTAAAATCTCATTTACTTGGAGAAAGCTGCAATACAGCTTGTGCTGCTGGTTAAAGGGAGCTTTTGCCATCTAATAGCATATGACAGCCCTGTGCCTACTGATGCTGGTTTCCATTCCTCCCCTTGTTTCCTCCAAGTCTTTACTTCTTTCATCCTTTTCTAGTTTCAGCAATACCAATCTCTTTAAATAGAAAATCTTTTTCCCTAAGCACCTTGTCCTCTTCTAATGCTGACAAGGGTCTTGTAACTTAAAGACAACCAACAATGTCAAAATTTCTTTTCTCCACCTTTTGACTCGGAGATTGAGATATAGGTTGGTGCATAACTTATGTTTATCAAAACTGCACTAGCTGTGTCTGGAACAGAGTAAGTACCTCAAGTCAAGTACTTTTTACAGGTTACAAGCACCCTATAACCATTTTTTTTTAATCATGGCAACAATCTCAGGTCAAATTAAGAGTCCAGTCTTGCAAGTAATCTTCTGTTGTTTCATTGTTTCCTTGACTCTTCCTTTGCGTTCACTAGCAGCACCTTTCTCACGATTAGATTATGTGTTTTTTGGAACAAAGATTGTGTTTTGCCTTTGTGCAGCACCTCCCAGGAGGGGCACAGGATAATGATCAGTGCTGGCAAGGCGAGAGGCGATCTAGGAAAGGGAAAGCCAGGCCAGCCTCCAGCTGAACAGTGACACCGTTTAGTGTCCCAGGGGAAATGCTAGAAACACTCCTGTAATCGAAGGAGCTAATTTTCTGTAATGCACTTCAGGCGGCATCTGCTAAAACACTAAGCTGGCCAGCGCGGGGGTGAGGCGATGTTGCAGGACCGGGCAGCAGAGAGAAGGTCTTGAGCAACTGATTGCCTACTCCCAGCCATCCGAAAAGGTAACAAAAGTGGTAAGACCAACAACAGGTCCAGTCACTCACTTTTTGTAATAGAATGTCCTCTTCTTTCTCGTTTGCCCCGGTTTGATAGTTCCTCTTTAGAAGACTAAAAAATTACTGAAGTGTCAAACAAGGGCAAAGTCATCCTTTTTAAGGAAGGATATGCAAATCTGCTAAAGAGGATTCAGCTGAAGGGTCTGGAATAATTTCTGAGAATCACAACTCAGCCTGAGGAGAAGGAGCAATCCACTGGGCTAGGGGAGCAGGCTAATTGCCTGGCTACGTTTTGGAAATCATTTCATACCTTCCTCCTTTACCATATAAAGAGGGCTATTGTTACGGTATACCTACAGCTGCAGCTGCATAAATCTACACTCTATGTCAATAAGTAGTCTCTGCTGCGACCATGTCCTTCCCCTTTTCACACAAGCCAGTGCATTCACAGAGCTGCAATTCTCCCTCCTTTGATTTATGCTCAATGACATAAAGACAAGGCTCTCGGCATCCATGTGCTAACCCCCATGTGAGCCCAGCCTCACATGATGGCAAGGATTTTGGCCTGGTATAGACTGGCTGGACCCGCCGAGCATGAAAGCTGGGGGGAGAGAGGACAAGAAGGGAGACAAAAACAACCTGGGGTTTTCTTAAGGTGGGAGCCAATCCCGTGAACTTGGGTCCTTTTGGTATCACGGCCCTACTGAAGTCAGTTTATCCCTTGTTTAACCCTCTGCCAGTGGACCATACGTGTCTCATTGTCAAACTGTATGTCAGCTTCCCTTGGGGGCTGAGAAGTGCTCGTGCCACTGGCAGTGTGATGACCCGACGCATCGCCATCACCAGCGCATTCCCGCCACAGTGTCCTTCTGAGACGGGGAAGTGCAATTCATTTCACAGATGAGGAACTTGCAGCTGGAGGCTGGCTGGCTTTATGGAGGTGACAGGAAACCAGACCAAATCTACCAAGTCTCAAGTTCACCCCATAACCCCTAGAACATCCTTCCTCTCATCAGGCACTGGCCTGTGGGTCAGGGTGATTTGGATATCACGGAGCTCTTATCTAGAGGGAGAGGGGCATGGATGAATATGAAGGTGTCAGTCTCCTCTGAAGTGATTAAATAAGACAAAAACCAGCCTAGCGATGCCTTACAACGGTCTCGCTATTGGTGAAGCTGTTCATTAAATACCACCATCACATGCAAATGAGTGCTTCAAAGAGCTCTAGATATCCTGTGTAAATTTAATTTGTCACTTAAAAAGTGTGTAAAGCACACAAGTTTGCACCAGTTCCTAAAAAAATAGTTAGCTTTCTCTCTTGATTAACATTACCTCAGAACAAGTATATCTGACAGGGGAAGAATGCAGGGGAAAAAAAAGACAAACCTCCTCTGGGATTGCTAGATCTGGTTCAGTAAAGCGTGCTAGCACCTGTTTACCTTTAAGTACATAAGTAGCACCACTGACTTCTTTGGAAAAACAGGCATGCTCATGTCAAGGTTTGCAGGAGAACTGTGTTTTCGTGTCAAGCTGCAGGCAGCCTTTTCAGCTTCTTTTTTTTCCCCCCTCCATTTGTTGAAAAGGACGCTAAGCAAGAGTGTGCTTGTAGGGTCAGATTCAATGACTCAGAGCTACAAAGCACCACTGTGTTACTCAGACCTTTAAAAAAACACACACACAGGTGCTTCTGAAGGGGGAACCAGCAGTATTCAGATTCCTGTCCTCAGGCTTAAGGAAATATTTATTCTTGGTGCTGTTGAGCAATCGGATGGCAGCAGAAGCTGTGTGTCATGGATGCTAAAATTACTTTTTTGCTCAGATGAATATTCAGACAGACAATTCAGAGAAGATAGAGTTGCATGGGCCTCTTTCCTTTAAAAGAAAAAATCTGGAAGAACAAGCTCGGGGGTTTCCACAGTCTTTTTCCCATGTCACTTCTGAACAAGAACCTGAGGCCTCAATGGGGATTGCTCATTAGCGATAATCTTAGCTTTGCAAAAATTGAAACATAAAGGGACATGTCAAGGGGTAACTATCTTAAGATGACACCTTCTTGCTCAGCACAGTTTTTTCTGGAGAGTATTCAAGTCATCTGTCATCACTTCACTGAGCAAAGCACATTTTTTTCTCAGTTTAGTATTGCAGACCCAAAGTACCTGTGGAAGAGCCAACTATGATGTGTCCTGCCTTGCACACCACTTGTTCTTCACACTTCGTAGCCTGAGTTTATTCAAAACACTTGCTTTTGAGATCCTGAGCCTTTTCTGCTGTAGAACTATAATATTTCTGTGTATTTGGGGCTATATTTGCCTTCATGAAGAGGACCGAGCTTTGCCCACATTTCCTGACCTGAAGTAGCCCCTGCAAACACAGCATCCTGGTATCCAGCTAGGACAACCTCTGCAGTCTGCTGCTTTTTCTCCTTCAAATGTGAGACACCCACTCTCCTCTCACACTGATTGTGTACCCCACAGCCCTCTAGCTTCCTACCTGATTTACCTGATTAGAGCAGTATCTCTAAGAAAAACCTATATTTCTTCAGCTCATTGCCAGATTCAGAGGCTAGCCTAAAAAATTATTTCAGAATAATAATAGAATCTGGCTCTTGATGGGCACAGCTCTGTGACTGGTGCTCCCAAGCACTCTATTGAGGCACATAACAGTAACGTGCACAATGAAGGACTCTGGAAATTTTTACAATTGTGAGTTTATAAGGGGAAAGAGAAGTCTTATGTTGAAGACTTAATCATAATCACATGGATGCTGAATGCAACAGTTCCTTCATAGACAGTCTTCACTGTTGATAAAAATCCAATCAAAGCAGCACACAAGTCATAGCTGTGCAATTCCAGTTATTTGCTTGCAGGTCTGTAATTCATCACGAAAATCTTAGATTGTGAATGAAATGCTTTTGGTGATGTCAACTTTCCAGTGACCAGTAAACCACATCACAGAACTACCACCACGTGGTAAAATATAGCCGGGAAATGGCAACAGCTAAAACCTAAATATTATTTCACTCTTAAAAATAGGTCCTTGAAACCCTGCTAGAGCCTTAATACCTAAAGAGGCCAGAAAGAACATGAGAGATAAAACCAAATAAAGAGGTCAAGAGAAAACTGTAACTTGCAGCCAGGAAGAGGGCAAACGGCGGTAAAAGCCCCGTCCTGACTATGCCCCTTGCCCCTCTGTTTTAGCACGCAGCAAAAAGCAAACACCTGAGCAGCTGGTGCTGCTCCACCAACGGGAAGGACCATTCATCAATCTCAAACCCACCAGAGTTATTTCTAGCCGGCAGACTACGTGAAGGAGAAGTGCCGCACTGACCACTCTTGCAGCGGGGTGGCAGGGCTAAGGCAGACGGGAACCTCAGGTATATCAGATAGGAGATGATGAAGGTGATAGATGGCAGGGCTGAAATGGCTACCGACCAAACACGTGAATCAGCCAGCTTTCCTCTGTGGACTGAAAACTTGCCACCATGTGCACAGCATTCATCATTCAGAGGCAAAGTCATCTTCATACAACAGCCAGAAGGGTACACCTAACATTTTCATCAACATGGGTGGTCGGTAGCACCTGCATGTTGCCTGCTTGGTCTGCAGTTTGATGCAAAGCCTCGTGCTTCAACCTATGCGTCCTCACTGCCACAGTAATTCAAAGACTAATAGCTACTAGGTAGAATATTTTAAAGATAAATCAGAGAGTAGAAACCCAAAAGCCAACCAAACAAAAATATTTTAAAAAAAGGTTTGACAGCAAGACAACAGTCCATAAGAAGCAGAAATCAAAACTGAAGAACAATGACATCACCTAGCTGTGCTTGTGAAAAGGCCTGAGAAGGCAAATCTCTTCTAGATAAAACAGGTGCAACAGCAGCGCTCCATAGGAAAGCTTAGTAGTCTCACTGCTCCAGGTACAGGCTCAGTAACTTGCCATGAGTAACTCTACACCCATTCGTGCTTAATTAAACGAATGATAATAAAAAAGGCACTTAAGACACAATCATTTATGTGGAACATGCTCCTCTTGCATTTTAGTTAAGCAGATTATTTTTCTATGTTTCACTGGCTGAAGTTGAGTCTTAATGAAGAAATGACTAGGAGAGATTTCTTGGCCTGGGCTATTTCTGGATGCCAGATTAGGGAGTTCAAAGGGGACTTCTATGCTTAAAAATCTCTATGTTTATATACTCTTTCCTTCCAGCATGCCACCAGAGCGGAGCATAACATATTAATCTCTTATGGTGTGAGGTGAGACCCTGCAATCCTAACCGAGCTGCTGGAGAGAACAAGAAAGCTTGTAGAAAAGAGGGGAACCTACTTTCACCACCTGACATTCTGCTTTGGCTTCCTTCTGGATTTTAGCATTGCACATAGAACAAATACTGAATATTCTGCAAGCAGAGATAAGAAGGGTAGCAGTAGTGCTGTAGCCCTTACTTCGGATAATGGCCATATAGAGGGTATGCATGTAACACCCACAGACCGTTCTGCCTTGGTGCGAGTTATAGTAAGAATTGCACGATTGGATCTGCACCTTCTCCATCACGAAGCAATTCCTGCCTTTATTAAAGGCCTCAGCACCAGCCTGAGAATTGGTTCATTTACTCTTTAGGTGTGACCACAAGGAACCAGCTCTGCTGGGGACTGTGGGCCAGTCAAGTTGGTGGAAATATCCCTCCCTGATTTGAACGGGCTTTGGCTCGTTTCCTCAAGCAGTCTGTTTTACTACACGTGGTATTGCAGGGGAGTTGTTTTTTTTTTTCCTGTGAGAGCAGATTCAAGGAATCATCTCGTCCTTGCTACTGAACAATGAAAAGTTGCTGAAGAACATGATGCTCATAAGGCAAAACTATTCACTGTGGCAAAATAACATGCTTAAAATAGATTCCCTTGCGTGCTACATAAGCAATTTTTAGGACTCCATATGAACCTAGTAGCACATTTTTCCCTATCTGTATTCCAGATTAATGGGTTGCTTAACAAAACTTCACAGTATTTTTTTTTCCATACAAGATTTTTTTTCCTTTCCCTCCACTTTGACCACGGACTAAATATATTCTGCACCCATCTGCAGTCACAAATGTTGTCCTTTGTCATTCTTGAACAGACCCTATATACTTTTTTTTCTTTTGGAGTAGCCGCAAAGTGGTGAGGGTGAATGACCTCATTTTTTTTTTTTTTCCCCTCCTTGGCTAATTTGCTCTTGCAGGGTGGATGAAACTGGTCAGCTCGGCTCTTTTACTGAACACAGCCTTTCCTGGTCTCTTTTATTTAGATTTTAAGAGGGGAGCAGCCAGTGGGTTCTTGCAGAGCTGAGAGGTGGCTCCGGCTTTCAGGTCGCTGTCTGCCCGCCGCGCTGCCCTCCTCTGCCGCAGCCCCTGCCTCTCCCTTAGAGACGTCGCAGGGAAGCGGCGAGGAGCCACCACGAACACATTTGGCCAAGTGGCGTGGGGAACGTGCCTCCACCGCAGGGACGCTGGTGGGGTGACGGACAGCAGAGGACCTGGAGAATAAGGGTGAGGGTTGGATGCTGCAACCTGCATGACGGTAGCTGGACCGGGGGATGTATCTGCTCCCTTCCTGGGTCCGCATGGGCAGACCTCCCTGTGACTTCGTTGGGAAACGAATAGGGCTCTATCCTGCAGTGATTAATGCTTCTTTGGCTTTGTTTGCAGCCACGACATCCTAAGCACTGTATAAACACCGAAGAAAGCCAAGCCCTCAGCCCAGAGAACTCACGCCCTGAAAAAGCAAACAAAAAAGGTAACCAAGGGAAGCACAGTGAACAGCACCCGAGGTGGCTGCATAGGTATGGGACAAAACCCAGGATGTCCCGGAATACCAGGCGTTACGTCAGCATCGCTCCTCTGGTGCGGTGCTGAGCCCTCTGCAAGGCACCACGTCACAAATAAGACTGCATGCTGCAGTGACACACAAACAAAGAAAAATCAGGAAACTTGCATTTCCCCAGAGCTGAAGCATCCCACCAAACCCTGCTGCCACGGAGCAGACACAACAGCAGCCTGCCCCGGGTGCCAGCGCAGCCTGCAGAGCAGGATTCTCCTGCAGCCCACCCTGCGACTTTCAGCCATCACTGCTCCTTCCCATGGAGGTCCAACAACAGTCTTGGTTCTACTGCGTGAACTTTGGACCCTTTTCCAAGAAGAGTAAGTCATAAAAAGGGGCAAGTTCTTGCAGGCAGGCTATTGTGTTACACAGACTGAAGCCTACCCAAGTCCACAGTGCAACCTGGTTAAACAACACTTAATTTTTATATTGTGTTTATAACACACAAATATTTGCCTTTGCATTTTCCATTGGTAATAACGAACCATCTTCAGAGCAGCTGCTTCTCCATGCAGGCAACGCCAGCCGGGGCACACTTAAACCAGAAGGTCAGCAGCAGCAGAAGCCAGCGCTGCCTGGCAAGATGAGTTTCCATCGAAAGGAAGGGGACAGCCTGTGCAAGAAGGACGGTTGCAGCTGAGGACGTGGTGAACCAGCCATCTCTGCTTCTCTCTTCTCCCCACTGCCCACCTCAGTAAGCTAAACCAGCACCTGAAGCAAGCACCCCCTCCAAGTGTCCAGCAGCCTTCGCAACACAGAGCGGCCCCTTGCAGCACAGGGCGCGGGGTGGAAGGAGGTCTGGATTCTGCGATCACAGCACGTGGTGGCAAGAACCTTCTTGGCTTTGGTCACCACAAACACTTTTTGGAGACCAGAGAGGTCATACAGAGAGGAAGCTGGCATGGAGGAGTAGGAGGAGGGCAGCCTTGCAACAGGGGTACCTTTTTCTTGCATCCATGCATGTACCTGGTACAACAGGGTCTTCCGACGCTTGAAGTCCAAGGGACAGATGGCTAAACATAGCAAAGTGACTCAAACATGACTCCTCTAAATAGTGTTAAGGTATAAATGCCAGAGGGCACCACTTGGAGGTTTTTGTGATTTTCTACCCTGTAGATACGCACGCATCCATGTTACTGTCTATCTGCACTGGTTCTTGCAGAGAGGTCAGAGTACATCCCAGCTTTCTGAGCTTAAGGGTGCTTGGGATGACAGGAACAGGCAATAGAACCAGATCCTTAGGGCCACAGTTAATCACCCTGCTTGACCCGCATTATTTTTTTTCTTCTGGCACAATATGAAGAAAGCCCTGTGCTATAAATGATGTCAGTCAGTACCCTTGAGATGGCTGATAAGCATTGAAGTCTACTGACTTGTGAAATGTGGTGAAGGTTTGTTTTGGTCCCGTTTGTGGGAAAGAAGAAATTACATCAGGAAGATGATGTTTATCACGAAAAGAGAAGCGGCTGAGGTTTCTTAAACTGTGGATTGGTTCAGTTTTATATGCATTATATTCCTTTTCTTATAAGGTGCTATGAGATTTTTCACATGTTCTGGGGGAAACTGCAAAGCAATCAAAAACTTCCCCGTTTCTCTTGCAGGAACCATTCCTGTAAGGGCATATTGACAAGTCAACTAATTGAATTACATTATCTTTGAAACCTATGCTGTTAACAACAAAATAAATACAGGAATTTAGATATTGTAGAAGTTTTGCTCTACTGCGTGATTCCTTTGGCCCTGATTAGAGCAGGAATACTGGACTGGGAGAGCCCATGATATAACACAGCATAGACATTTTAATGCTCTTTTTTTCCCCTCTCATCATAAAGACGGTGTATTTTAGGAAGTTAAAAGAGAGATAATCTATATTTTGGCCAATTTTTTTCTATATTACAAAGAATTCCAGGTACTTGCAGTGAGCTAACTCTCCTTATAAATATTATGGTGTAGTGGAAGAACCCATCCCAATGCCACACAAGGGAAGAAGAGCCCTTAGCATTAAACCAGGCAACTGGTTTATTGCATATTTGCAAATGCACATTCTCACATTCTTACATCATGGAAACGTTTATGCTCTTCACCAGTGTTAAGCAAGGAAAGGGATGTGAGTATTCTGTACAAATATGCTGATCAGATCATGCCTCAGAAAGCAAATACTGTGTCCTCCGACAGGCGCCCAAGCCTAATCAGGCACCCAAGACTAGTCACTTGGGAAGATTATCTTGTGGCTGAAGCACAAGACAAGGAGGGCAGAGCCCTGCTCCCAGCAGATCTGCTCCACGCTCGGTGTGTGACCTAGAACAAGTCACGAATTTGCTGTTCCTGTTTCCTCTTTGGTGAAAATGATGACAATGATCATGTCTATTCTCAGCAGAATGATGAGTACTCATTAACATACATTTCCAAGTGTTTCTCATTCTTTGCAGGAAATACATTGCAAATATCACTGCCTTACAACTACCCCACCATATTATCGACTCTAAACTGACACAAGTCCATCAGACAAACTTCAGCCCTACCACACTTATTCTCCCAATTTGTTCCATCAGAAAACAGCACTCTTATAAGAAACCACTGTTCAAATCAGTCAAGCAAAGGAGAACTTGAAAGGCTGGCTGGGAGCAACATCTCTCCAGGCTTGCCTCCCTTTCACATTCTTGACTTGCAGGTCCTGCTTACGGTTGCAGATGGGATATCAAATAACTGACTCTTTAACAAAGTATGGCTTTTCCTATGCAAGCTTACACTACAACTTTCCTGGAACCCCCTACTATTTTGTACTGCTACATGTCCAAGGCATTGGCTGTGGAAAGTTACACTCTGTTCAATCACTTACAGACTCAGAATTAAGCACGTGCTGAATGCAGTGGAAAGACTTTACACATCAGCCTCAAATAAATACAAGTTCCCTGTTTTGCATCCTCTGAACAGCTATGAATTAGATAGGTGAGAAATAATGAGGAGCTCCTCCGGGCTCCTACATCAGGGTACCTGAAACATGGTGGGAGCTATAGCATGGAAATCTGAATTTCCAAGGCTTGGTCAAGAGTCAAGCAGGTTCCAGGTAATGAGGAGATTCCAAAGGGAACAACTGCCCCAAACCCAAATGGCTTCAGAAGGAAGCAAATAACGTCATGGTTAGTGACCTGGAGCAAAGGGATGAAGAACATTGTTGTCTGCTCATCATGCTGCATTGATAACAGTCCTGAACACCAGGACAGAAAAGAAAAAAAGAGACAGGTACAGAGGATACTGAGGAATGGGACAAACCACGTGAAAGCTATGATGTAAAAATCACTTTTTAAATATGCAGGCTCATTCATATACATATGGAGGACACCTGGAAAGCAGCAATTTAAGAGATGCCTAAGCAGCGAGGGTGGACAGAATGAAACACATGTTTTAGAGGAGAAAAAAGGCCTGTGTGGTTTTAGGCAACATATTTAGGACCAGAGATCCAGAGGAAAGGCTCTCAGGACTATGTGGTCAGACATTAAATTGTAAGCTATAGACAGCAGAGGGGTTTTTGTTTTGTTTTGGGTTTTTATCTTTTTTTTTTTATTCTTGAAGCTGCACCTTGCTCTTAGGGAACCCAGCCATGGCCCAGTTATAGCACTATGTTGAGGGAAGCACTTAAAACGACACAACTAATCAAGAATAATGAGACACAGACAACTAATAGAAGTTCAAATG